TTGAGTAAATAATATCACTGGAATACGTGATGGAAACTGAGTCAAATATTTTGTTAAATAAATAATTTTTTTGAGAGTTTGTTGGATAATGAGTTAGGACAGATGAAATGTACTTTGCATTTGAGCATGCCTCAACATGTCCATGAAAACAATAATTTAACACAATCACAACTTTTTGAGAGATAATTTCTATCCTCCTGGGATTAGTCCTAAAAAGATTTGCAAGCAGGTACTGTGGCTGTGTTTGCATTATGTATGCGTTGATTTTTTAACCATCATCAGGCACATTCTCATATAGTTGACACATTTTTCCTTTAGTCTTGCATTTTTCGATATGCTGCTCCAATTGGAAATCTAATTTTAAATTTTCATTTTGTTCTTCCTTTACAGTCAAATTCTACGTTTTCTTCTGCATTTCTTAGTTCAAGATTCCATTGTAATAAGGAGATGAGCGTTTATTATTTTTTTTCTTGCAATAAGTTAAATTTTTTTGCAATAAGTGCAACTGTTAAATTTATTAATTATGGGTTTAGGACGTAATAAATAATCAAAATCGTAAACTGTGAGAGCCGGTCAAAAATTGGTTGAAAAGTTTTCCGTGTGTGAACAAATCATCAGGAAGAAATTCTAATGGTCGATAGCTTATAAACACGCCAAACTTTCAAACAATACATGATAATTTGAATAAACCAAAATGCCACCTACCAGGATACGTTAGTATGGGGGAAATTGAAAAAAGAAACTATACTTACGAACTCTGTAATAAAAACAGACTAAAACCACAAAAAGCAGTCAGAGGCTGAGAATAACGGTGGAGCACGAAAGAAAAGCGAGGACTCAACAATGACGGATATGCAGATGATACCATTATCTTATTTCACAGTCAAGCTATCCTTCAAAACCTGCTTATAACGAAAATAAATGCATCTGGTTTAGGATAACCACAGAATCAAATACATTGACAATTCCTACTGCAGCTACAATGTATTTTATGAAAAGTAGTCAATTAATAGGGCAATAAAAGAAATTTACAAATTCTGAGCGTTTCAAATAGTGCAAGCGTCCTAATGGATAATGAGTTACATAACTTGAAGCCCACCTTTAAGCAAAAGAAATAAATCTATGCTGAAGATGTTTTACGAAAGCTGAAACATATCAATTTAAAAGAGTTTTGTCCTAACGTGTATATGCATTCCCAAAATGTCATCAAATTAGAAAGAAACAGTATTCATGAAAATATTTACATTTGACTACATTTTGGAGTTTTGTTTAATCCATCTCTCGTGCATATTTATAATTCAGCATTATGTCTATATTCATGGGTTCAGTCTGTATCCCCGAAAAAGATGTTTTAAATTAGGTTTACCAGCGATGTGTTGTATATGCGAATACGTTCATAAATTTGAAAGCAGAAACACACGTCAGTATCCTCTCTTATCATGTCCATACTATTCCAGTATTCGCTTTGGCCTACAGGAATACGATTCAATGGCAAAATACGTTAGCTGTCGACTTATGCGTAAATAAATTATATTTGGTTGCAATATTTATCATTTTTAAGTAATTGTGTTTTAAAAATATACGGAATGTCCACATAAATTGTATAACAGGTTTTTAACGTATCAATAAAATTAATGTTTTCTTAAAACTTAAAACAAATTTATATGTATATCAATACTTTATCTATTTCTTGTGCAAATGAAATGTACATGGTCGGAAGTCGCCAAGGTGCATTTTTCTCCACATTCCATAATTAATGAAGTAGCTTTAGAAAATTTATTGAAACAGCTAAAAAATTTTATAATTTTTTGCTTCGCTCCCAACTTCAATTCATTTAAGTTGAGAGCAGAACATTCAATTATTTCCTAATTAAACACACGGGAAGCGCATCTCTATACTGCTAATTTCTTTAACAAATATATTAGCTTGCTGGCCTCGAAAATTTTTAGGTGCAATTTTTCTCCTTGAGCTAGATTTAGAAATCTACTAAGTCTGGTCTTATAAACGTCTTCAATTTCAAGTAGATACACTTAGTCTAATTTCGTGACGCCAACGTCCCCTTAGGCGAACGCGCTATTTTATGACTGTCATCCCCTAAAGTTTTGCGGTTGGATGCGCAACAATTTTATCTTGGCTAGAAACTGCATGAATTTATTTCAGTTCTTACATGCAAAACAACTAAGAAAATAGACGAATATGCGTTCTTACAGAATTGTGGACGAACATTTTCAGCCATATTTCAAGGTAAGCATTATTTGCGACTTGCGGAACAGCAATCTTATGCCGCATTAAAATGTGTCTGACGTTTTAAGTAGCTTTTATTTGAATACGTAAAAATTTGTCTGCACATACTATAAATGGATGCGAAAACTTTCATCTCGAGACACAAAATCATCTAAAGTAGCAAATTTGTATTGCGTTTATACATATTTCACATTTACCTAAAAATGCAACGTTGTACTTAGCTTTACGCAAATCGTCGGACACTTAGAGCATTCATAATTTATTTGACAACACAGATTTAGGAATGGCAACTTCAAGAAACCTAGTAAATTGCTTATGTATTGTTGACTTACAGAACAGGCAAACTGTCAGCAGCATTTTGACTCACTCTAAATCAATATTGTAATACAATGTACTTCTGAAAAGTTGGGGAGTAACATGTATTACCCCGGCCGCTACAATAATTTGTTTTAATAACGGTGCTAATTTCAAAGTATTCAACATAGTTTTTGAGTTAAATTTGAACAAATAAGCTCTAGAATTTAGCGTAATATACCATCACGTCAAGAGAATTGAAAAATATTTCCAAAAATATTGCAAACACCCAAATAACTCTGCAAACACCACGTCAGTGATCTAAAACGCAATTTCAATTGGTGAACTTTGCTTGTCAGTATGTAAATAAAACAAGCCAATTGAAATCGGAAAAATACATTGTTTTTTTTATATGAGACATGTAGGTTTGACGACTCTTTTAACTTCAGAAACACACTTATAGGTACTCTTTATATCAAGTAGGTCTAATTTATAGTTTCTATTGACTATAATTTTGAAGCTTGTAAACTTTAGTTGTATGTTTTAAAACCGCCATTATATGTTTCAACTAGAAATAGCAAAAACATGTGGATAATGTGATAAAGTGTGACGACAACTATTGATAAAATGCCATAGAGATTTGAAATGAACAGTTTTCGATGTTGAAAAAACCCATTTAGAGGATGTTATTATCGTGGTTGTTAGTACCGTTTCTGGACTAAACAACTAATAACTTACTTGTATTTCGAGTTGAATAATGTAAATAAAATTCCCTTATTATTTTTCCAAAAATTAAGTGACGAAAGGGTACCAATCTCTATTTATAGTGAAAAAACAAATGAAACCCAAAAATATGAGTGTTGGTAAAACGACGCTAAAATCTCTTACAATATAGAACGAACATGTTTTAGCAATAAATTATAATAAATATAAAAAATAATGTGCGCGCATAAAAAAATGTTTCAAAAAAAATTCCGCCCATGGCACGACATTAATGTTAATAAGTAATTTTACAACAAATGATTATCCATGCCGGGAAGCTAATCCCCTTATCAGAGACAAATTAGTTTAACTACTTTCTTGAAGAAGTATTATACTTACAGTGGCAAGAACCAATCTAGCATGTATTGAAAAGTAAGTAAATTTTATACATTTGTACACTTAAAACACTATAATACTTCACACCATAAAACAGCTATTCATTTATAGCCAATTATATTGGGAACGTAAAAGCTCCGTATTTCAAGGATATGACAATCTCTTGATTTTTATGTTGGGTGCATTAAATTAACATGCATTTATTAGTACCATAATTGATTATGTGTGCTATACATAAGAGCACTATGACCTTCTAAAAATTTTGACGCTCGACTTGAATTATTGTCCAAAATGGATTAAAAGCACTTAACATCAATTGTAATAGCAAATATGTTTACACACTTTAACTATCCATTATACTTTTCATCAACTGAATTCAGTATATATGCATTTGCGTGAAAAATGTGGATATTGTATTTGAGTTTGTCAACTTGGTGCTTCCAAAACGGGCCAGGAACAACAGGCAGAATTTATTTCAGTTATAGTTACAAAAACTTAGTTTTAAAATACAATCCAAAACAGTTTTATTATGAATGCATATTGAGGCAGAACTCTAGCTGACGACAGCAACAAAGCGGTTGAAGATTCGGTCCTTATTAATAGTGCAGTTAAAAGTCTCAGATTTTTTGTTTAATTGAAGCTTATTTTTAAGCATTTGCCCGTTGATAAGTATTTACATTGGTTCAAATTGCGAAATTTGGGACGCCAGAAACTGTATTTTATAGCCATTAGAGATGGAAATTAAATAGATCCTTTAAATAAGTGAGAATGATTGAAAAAGTGATTACTTATATGGATTTTTCTCAATATTCATACATTGCTCTACTGTGTACACATTTTCCACTAAGGATCTAGAGCTAGAAGTAGTGTAAATTATTATTGATGTGGCTGTAATAATAGATCCAGGAATTTAAAATGTATATAAGTCCTACCGCTATTTCCAATTTGCTTTTGTTTTGCATGATTGGGACATTAAAATAATTTTACTGTTATTATAATTAAGAGATTATTTGGATTGTGACTCACTTTTATTCCAATTCGGTAAAAACATCTTTTACTGCAATTAGTTTAAAAGAGATGTTTAAATATAGTAATTAAATATTGTCTATAACTTAATTAATTTAAAAATATAATCCTATAATACCGATCAGTTACACGTTTGCGTTCAATGATAAACTCTTCATATCTTGGTACGTTCAGTAAGAATACTTTTTCCAGTAAAATACTATGTATTTGTTGGTATGCTATGAGGGTTAAAAGGCCAAATAAAACATCAATTTCCGGTGAAATCGATTAAACCGAAAGGCCTTAACTATCCGGATATCTGACTTATTGTTGATAAGAGATAAAGTGATTTCACTTACCTGTCTTCTTCCAGATCTGGTTTCTCTATATGCTTCCTGAAACAGAAATAATTGATTTTAGTTTAATAAATAAATGCAGTAAAAATAATGCAGCTGAAATATACCCAAAAATTAAAACATTAAAACGTGTTTCTGTATCCTCAATTAATCTTTCTCCTGTTCAGTTAATGGAACTTAAGTTTTTATCAGATTACGTAATTTCTAGCTGTTTTCGAGCACACTATACACAATTATATGCCTATATAGCTAACACGCATCGCATGGTGACACCTTAAGCGGACTGGTTAGAGATTGTTAAGATGTGAGAATCATACATGATGTTGAATTTCTTTGCCGTTCCAAACACACTACATAGTTGATAATCGTATCTATGCTAGGCTACAATATATGGAAAACTTTTATTGAGGCAGGGGGTTTGGAAAATAGAATTGTTCGCAATGCCGTACAATATTTAGAGTATGGCCTACCTCAACCGCTCGTCACTACTACCAAAATTTGAACAGTGTGCCATAAATATAACCTTTTTTTAATATTTAATGCTCATTTTTAAAGCCCATACTACCTAATATGTTTACAAATTGAATTCATAGGCAAAGATAATGTTAGTTTCAGATAGTGAAGTGTGCGTTAGGTTAATTTAGTTAGGAACACTACTCAAAAGAAGGAAGCGGAGCAGCAGGCCCTTAAACCGACTAGACCTCTCAAGCCGAAGCTAAAATTATAGAGAACGACGCACCGGCCCTTAGAAAACACGCTATACAGCATAGCACTCCCAATTGTTCTCGGAGACCTATCTTCACCAATAGGTAATATAGAATTCAGTACAAGCACGACTAAAACGATTTGAAATAATGCAATCATAAAATTGTATGTACATAATTGGTACTAAATGGTTAGGTAATAATGAGTGTTCAGCAAACTCCTACTCCTATCATTTGCATGCAATTATGGTAAAAGCTTGTTTTGTTTCCCATAAAGAAGAAAATTTAAATTTATTTGGAACAATGCTTTAGGAGATTTGGTTGCTAGCTCTGGTCGCAGGTTTGCATCATCGTGCTATGAAATCTAAGCAAAGAACAGATTTGATTCATTTGCGCCATTTAGTCCTGAAATACACTTTTGAGAACGCATCAATTTGTTGCTTTAGTAGCTAATTTATAGTTACTAGGAATATAAGAGATAACAGCAAATTTTACCAAGTGACCAAAATTATCTCAAAATAGTTAAGTTTTTCAAATAGGAAATAACATGACAGGCGAAAAAATGAACTGCGGCTGAACAGGCACTTTTGGAATGCCACAAAGTAATGTCCTTTGGATCAAACACATCACATATTTGCAAAAGATTCAAGGGAAACTATTGGGACGTTCAAACACCTAGACAACCACCATCAGACAGAGACACTGAAGAAAATTGCGAATTTCGAAAACTTGTAACTTGCGTAAACTTTGCGATCGACACTTAGATCTTGGACCGACCGTAGAGGCCTCATTAATTTGACGCAAGATTTTGTTTCATTGCTATTGCTTTAATTTACAGAAAAAAACTTAGTCGTATATTATTCAAGCCTGCACATTACGCTTCACTAAATCGGATAAATTGATCAGAAGTGTATTCAATTATTTTTTTTTTTAGTTTATTGTTATTATGTTATTAATTGTGATCTGATTATTCCAGTTATTGTAGTACCTAATAAATGTTATAATCATCATTGGTAACATGTTGCTAGGATGAAGATCTAGGTTGACGTTCCCAAAATATTTAAGAACTTTATGATTGAATAAATACAATTAATAATGAAATATTAGTGATATTAACTTCCGTTTCACTTTTTGACCATTGAGTATTTTGTTTTTGCTCGCTTTGTCCATAAAATTGGGAAATGTTTCTGTGGCAATAAGGCACATTTTGCTTTGAATTAGGTTAGAACACGTGGATTTGAGCTGAAAGCTATGCTATACTCATTGCAAGTTTTAAGTTGTAATAAAACAACCCCTGTTATTGCACAAATTATGTTATGTACGCGTCGGTCGGACGGTTACAAAAATCCGTCAGCCGAATTTTATTTTCGACTAACCAAAATAATTCAATATTGTACTGAATAAATCCTAAAATTTTATTCCAAGCGCATTGGTTGGTTGGTTATAGCTATGTAAAATTTATCGATATTATATTGTTCTGTTGATATTTTGGAGTCTATAAAGGACTTATTATTTATTATTTTATATTTACTAAGGCCACTTGAAAATATGCATTATTTTTTGTATGAAAAGGTTTACCTATATGGAAATAAATTTAAAAATTTAACTCAGTCAGCAACTGCATAAATTTGAGTTAAAAAAAATTTGCCTCCTTACAATGATGCTATTTGTTACTGGAATATAAGCAAAATTGATTAAACAGGAAGAGTTTTTGTTCTTAACATTGCTCACCTCAAATTAAATGTACACATTTTGTTTTCCACTTTATACTGAAAACACTTTCCAAGTTTTGCAATTTTATTTCTTTTTCTGCAACAATCTAATCACTACTACTAGCACTACTATTTTTAAAATTCACTTTGAATTTTTAACATTTCAGTTCAAATATGCTTGTGATGCAATGTAATGATGGGATGTATGTGATAGTATAATTATTTTCCTTCAGCAACATTATTATTTCCGAATTAATTACATTGACTAAAAACTAGATGTAGTTATTGATAGAAATAAAGGCGTCAACGAAGCCACGAGTAAGATGTGAATTATTCTAATGTCCAACACCCCTAACTACTCAAGGCAAACCCCTTTCTAGTTGGCATACGAAGGTCTGTTGAACTATGTATGCAGCAAAACGACTTGAATTTAAATAGAAATGCGAAAGTTTACTGCAGATTTACATAAGGCGATTTTACTATTCATTTTCGTGTCTTTTTTGATTTGCTAGTTTGCTGTTGTAAGTTTGTTTTCATAAATCTGGTAGAAAGCTACCCTAACACGAAAGACAATTTTTAAGTCCCTACCATGTTTTTTAGTTATACTGAAACCGGTTGGAACAGTAAATGGTTAATGTCCGAAGAATTGATGAAAGTCGAATCCGGTGCACTTACACTGACTATTATACGACTAGTCCTCATATATTTCTGTGAGTAGGTAAAATTAATCGCCTTCCAATTTATTTCTACTAACATACGTAACAGTATGCCCAACTAAATTCAGCCTGATCCCCAAGTAATTTTCCTTTTAAGGACTGGTTGCATTAATCGCCCAATTAATCTTTGTAACAATTTTATTTTTACTTTGGTGGTAGGTGGAAATATCGATCATGAAAGGAACAATATAAGAAGAAAATAAATTAATTGCATCGCCTTGAACTAAAAATAAAACCATGAGGCTCAGTTGGGAGCATTAATTAGTTAAAGAAATCTGTTTTGCTACATCTAGTATAATTAGTTTTCGCTGGTAATATATCAGTCACTGTATTAATCCATACAAAAACCCGCTGTGCGCTCCTGTCCATTGTTGTGTGCGGAATTTTCCAATTTTCAATTAAACCCACCAAGTACAAATGCTGTCAACGCAATTTAGTAAAAATTAATAACGCTTCTACGTTGTAAATCATTCGTGCCAGTCTTTTGTTTCTAATTTCCAAATCATAACCGTATTAGATAGCCGACAATTATTTTGGAAGCATTAACGGCTTTTGTATAGTGAAACAAAACTACTTGTAATATCGACCAAAAAACAACGTCCCGATAATGCTTTTAGTCATAATAAAGACAATATCTTTAATGTTAATTGTTATTAATTCTGATGAATAGGTACACCTTGATCATTTAGATCACATATTTTGGGAGGTTAACTTGCATGAATCGATCAAAAATGTGTGTCTAGTACTCTTTTGATAATCTCTTAGCGAAGAAATTCCCTTATGAATAACTCACAGGTATCAGCGAGTAAAATAAACCAATGTGAAGTTACCAATGCGAAAGTCGAGCTCAACTGAGCTTGATCTTAAATAAAAAACCATTGTATTCTTAAAAGCCCTAAATTTAAACATTAACTCATTTCAAGGGATTTTACAGTTGAATGAATTCAAGAAGCTTGCCAGGAATTTTCTTGTTGCATTGGGTTTAAATATCATGTGTGACCTAAAGACTAATGGCAATTTTCCATGATTTGTCTAAATATTTTTACGTTTTCTTATTGACCCTGTTATCAAAGCGCATAAAAAACTTGGGAAGATTCTTTAAGAAGGCAATATGTTCACTTTTCCACATGATTCTTTATTTTTTCAAATCCTTTTTCTTGGATATTTTGCATGAACATTTTTGTCGTAGACAGAATTTCCACACTTTTTCTATCACGTATTGATAAAGAGTGCCACTGTTTCACAATAAAGAACAAATTATGTTTGAGAAGGCAGTCAAGAGCCTGGAGCTTACGCACAAGCCGTTCCTGCAAGTACAAGCTGTGAGAAAAAAATCCAATTAGTAAAGAAATTAGAATAAAGCAAATCTATCGTTCTCAAAAGATACCCAAGAAAGGGTATATTAATGAATGGTCACACAAGGCAAAATGACTAAAAATCTGTAAAAAATTACTCTGAGTTTTGGTTTTCCTCCAAATTTGTATATTTTAGGGGTTTCACTTGACCCTTCTTGTTTAAAAAAAGTAAACAAAATTAATTAAAAATTTTGAAATTTAATGATTTAGTGGTTCAAATTAAGTGAACATGGAGTAGGTAACCCAATTATATTGATTTAATAAAATGAATGCACTTTCTTTCATTTGTTCTATATGTTTGAAATTCTTTGCATTGTATTTTTAAGTTATTCTAGTTAAAATTTCAGCTATATTCTGTAGTCAATTTAACTCGTTGACTATTAAGAAACATCAGCAACCTATCTAAGCCAGAGGTATTAGAAACGTTGACCATTATGCTGCATTAAACATTCAAAACCAGAAAGTTTGAATAAAGGGCATTTACTTCGTGTTAACTAACAAATATGAGAATTTTGTGGGTAACGCCACTCTAACCCTAAATACCCCATTTAA